GCACTTGGGAGGCAGAGCCAGGCAGATCTCTGTGAGTTCGAGGCCAGCCTCATGTACAGAGGGAGTTTCAGGATAGCCTCCAAAACAATACAGATGTAAAGGGCAGCTTTTCATTTGCTAGCCATTTTGGTTTATCACCCGCTAGCCACCTGGGCTCTGCTGCATTGTAGTCCCCAAATAAACACACAAGATGCTGTATTAATTATGAAGCTGTTGGCCATGCTTGTTTCTTACTGGCTAGCTCTAACTTAAGTATTTACCCCATAATTGTTAATCTAAGTATTTCTCTTACCGGAGAATAGTTCCAGGCTTCCTACCCCATGGCGGTTACATCTCGAACTCTCTGTGTTTCTCCTTCCCAGAATCCTCCTGGACTCCTAGTCCCACCTCTCTAGATTACTATTGGCCAGCAGTGCTTTATTAACAAATGTACATGACTTCCCCCATCATCTCCTCTTTTCTGTTTAAACAAAAACAAATGTCTTAACTTTAACATAGTCAAACTATATATAACAGAACAGTTATCAAGTAAGAACATAGTTACAATATTTTAGCAAGATTTAAAGAAAATAGCATCCATTCCATCCTGTGAGTCCAAAGTCCTATATGTAGCTTATCTTTTATCATAACTAAGGAAAACTATAATTATAGCTATCTGTCTTCAACTCCATCAAAGACCACAGAAGGATAATATATAAACACTAGGAATGATAGATACATCTTATTGCCTGGACAGTCACCCGAAGTTCCACTGTAACGTTGGGGCATCTATCTTCAGCCCATAGGCCACAATGTATCCAGAAGAATTCTCAGCCAAGCAGGAAATTTCAAAACTGTCCATCTGCATCAGCAGTCTGTCAGTCATTTTTCTGTGTCCTGCAGAATGTACCGTAGACTCTTCCATGAAGCAGGAACCCTGTAAGACTCAGTTCAGCAGTCACTTTCCTGTGGGTCCTGCATGTCCAGATTATACAACAGTCAAACAGTCTAGGTAAGAGCAGTTTCTTGCCCAAATGGCTAATCTTGCCATGTTGAAAGCAAACTCCATAACGAGTTTCTTCGATGCCCATCTCAGACGTAATTGGTGCTGCTGCCAGGTGCAGACATTTCTCATTGTCAAGAAAAAACCTAAACCATTTTAAATGCCATTTTCTGAAGGCCTTTGAGAGGTTTGAAGACTGTTTATCTATCTCAAATATATTTCTGTATATCTAGAAAACCTAACTCACCTAACTATAAATTCTATTATAAGTAACTATGTATAATCTGTATTCAATTATGCATTACTTTGTAAAAGATCAGTGTAAGCACAATACTTAATCAAGAGGAGAAATATACACATCACAAAACTGACCTTGAATTTGTATCAATAAATGAAAAACAATACCCATACCATAATTCCCCTTTTTACCATTAAAAGGAGATTGGTTGTGATCATTAACCAATTATAAACAATCCCATTTACATAAAAACAAAGATTTATAAACAAGATGGGAATTGGGACGTCGCTCATTCCAAACTGCTTCCTGCTAGAAGGGGGTGCTGTTTATAACATGGGGATCATGACAAAACTCAGAAACCTGTATAAGTCCTTATTTTCATGTCTGTAAGGCTGCATCATCTTAGCTGTCTCAAATGTTGGAACACCTGGCCCACTGCTTCCGGGGGTCTTGGTACATCAAACCACAGAAGCCTGGTAGGAATCCTCAGCTTTTCATTTTCTGTAGAAACATAAATAAAATCTCCTTTTCTGAGTAACATATCCTTATACTTAAATTTTGAAGTTAAGGCATTTTCAAAAGATAGAAGTTGGATTAATTCAGCAGCATTTATAATCAAGTGTACTTTAGCATTTGTTCCTTTAGCAATGAAAAAACTGAAAAACACAATAGTGTACAGTATCCAGACTCTCTGTGTATTTTCCATCTTTACGTGGCTTATTTATCTACTATTACTTTATTTATTTTACTTTTATTTCTTTTTCTCTGAGACAAGGTTTTTCTTTGGAAATCTGCTTGCCTCTGCCTCTGGAGTAAATCCTACCGGCATGTGCCACCACAACGCCAGCTTTTTTATTTTCTCTCTCAGTCTTACGTATATTTTTAAACACACTGTAAAACTTTAGAAGTTTTGTTCATCCAAGTCTGAATTTACTGTAAATGTTTATGTTTTTCTGGCCACGTATCTTATCTGTTAAAACCGCGGCGGTTTTAAACTGCCGTTTTCAAAATGGAGGGCATAAGCGTGATTCCAGCTTACCGCCTCAGTCCATGCTGACATCCAGCAAAAGCTGCCACTTCCAGATGTACGTACACCCCTTTTAATCGTTAGCAGAGTCTCTTAAAACAACCTTGCTGGCTGTTTTACTTTTTTTATACTCAGTCAGTAAGACTCCGGTAAGTGAGCCACGTGAATCTCGGCTTGTTGCTAGCAAAACAGAGCACACCTGAGAAAAATGCTGCTACCAAAATTCTGTGCTTCTCTCCGTTCTTCTGTTTCTAAAATTCCTTTAAAGCTTTTGTTATTTTACGTGGAAATTCAATCCCGCTCCTGATCACCATTCTGTTAAAGAAGCTTTTTCTTTGCTAGCCGCTTTGGTTTATCCCCCGCCAGCCACCTGGGCTCTGCCTCATTGTAGTCCCCAAATAAACACACAAGATGCTGTATTAATTATGAAGCTGTTGGCCTTGCTTGTTTCTTACTGGCTAGCTCTGACTTAAGTATTTACCCAATAATTGCTAATCTAAGTATTTCTCCAGAGGAGCCAGGGAGACCAGAGAATTAGCTGTTCCAAATCAGGTACAACAGGACACAGCATAGGATCAAGGGGACCAGGTAGGAGGCTAAGCACCCCAGATTCCTGTTCTTCTTCTCCACCCAAGGGACCAGCACTTGGACAAGGAATAGAAGAACCACCAGATTATTAGACTTGCTAGCACCCACCAAAAGGGAACGCTGGTCCCCAGACCAGTAAGTGGCTCTTTCTGCACCCACTAGAAGAAGAGATGTGAAAGAGACAATACAAAAACACACTCAGCAACAGAAAAACAAATATGACACCGCCAGATTTTAGAGACTCCACACCAGCAAGACCCCAACATTCCAATGTGAACGAAGCAGAAGGGAACGTCCTTAAAAGCACTTTCATGAAAATGATAGAGGCCCTAAAAGAGGATATAGGAAAATCCCTCAAAGAAATGGAAGAAAAAACAAAGCAAAAATGCAAGAAATGGTAGAAAAACCAAAGCAAAAAAAATGAAAAAAATGGAAGAAGAAACAAACCAAAAAAGGCAGGAAATGGAAGAAGAAACAAAGCACAAAATGTGAGAAATGGAACAAAAAGCAAACCAAAAATGCACGAAATGGAGGAAAGAGCAAACCAAAAAATTCATAAAAGGCAACAAATGGATGAAAAGATAAACTGAAAATTTCAAGAAGCATTGCAAACACTACAAGAGTTGAAAACTGAAATAGAGACAATAAAAAACACAATCTAAAGAAAGGCAGAAAATAGAAAAGCTGGGCAAACAGTCAGGTATTACTGATAAAAGCCTTACCAACAGAATAAAAGAGATGGAAGAGAGAATCTCAAGTGTTGAAGATACACTAGGAGAAATGGCTTTATCAACCAAAGGAAACCTTAAATCCAACAAATCCTTAACACAAAACATCCAGGAAATATGGGACACCATGAAAAGACCAAACCTAAGAATAATAGGTATAGAAGAAGGAGAAGAAATCCACCTCAAAGGGGCAGAAGGTATATTCAACAAAATCATAGAAGAAAACTTTCCCAACCTTAAGAAAGACATGCCAATGAAGGTACAAGAAGCCTACAGAACACCAAATAGAGTGGACCACAAAAAAATCCCCTGGCCACATAATAACTAAGTATTTCTCTTACCGGAGAATAGTTCCGGGCTTCCTACACCATGGCGGTTACATCTCGAACTCTCTGTGTTTCTCCTTCCCAGAATCCTCCTGGACTCCTAGTCCCACCTATCTAGATTCCTATTGGCCAGCAGTGCTTTATTAACAAATGTACAGGACTTCGCCCATCATACAGAGAAATCCTTTCTCAAAAAAACAAAAAAAGTTTATTGAGCAGAGAGATACCAGCGATGAGAGCATCCACTCTCCCATTGCACAGGTGCTAGCTTAAGTGTCAGAAATGCAAAGAAAAAAGCTCAGATCAACAGAAGAGATTGGTGCAAAAAGAAAAAAGAAAAGAACAAAAGTACATGTAGTAATAGAGCTGGAGACCTTGCTTGGAGGTAGAGTTCTTGCCTGCCATGTATTAGCCTCCATCTCCAGCACCATAAGGGTAAAGAAGAATGTTTGTGTGCATGGTAAGGGTTGTGGCTGCAGCAATTGTACTACCTTGCAGAGGTCACTGCTGTGAAACATTATTTTAAGACATTTGTTTTTTTTTCTATGGAGAGATGTATTCTTTTATGTGTTATTTGTTTAACTCTGTGAAGCTGGGTTACTTTGCTTGCCTAAAACAGCTGATTGTCTAATAAAGAGTTGATTGGCCAATTGCATGGCAGGAGAGGGACAAGCAGGGCTGCCAGGCAGAGATAGTGAATAAATAAAAAAGAATGAGATGACAGAGGAGCAAGAGGACACCAGGGGCCAGCCACTCAACTACAAAGCAAGAGAAGAGAATAAGAATTAAAGAAAGGTATATAGGATAAAGATAAAAGTCCAGAGGCAATGGGTAGGTGGGATAATTTAAGAAAAGCTGGCTAGAAACAAGCTAAGCTAGTGTGTGCATTCAAAGGTAAGAATAAGACTCCATATATTTGGGAGCTGGGTGTCAGGCTCCCAAAGAGCAGAGTAAGAGTAAAACAAAACCAACTACAGGTCACTAGTTTGCTCACAACGACCTGTAACTCAGGTTCAAGGGATTTTGACACCTTCTGCTCTGTAAACACTGCTTCCAATATTATAGATACCATAGGCTGCCTTGTCCTCCAGCTGGTGCCCATATTCAGAGAGTTTGCTTATGTCCAATACTGCTGCCCCCCACACTTTATGAATTAGGGTAATTAGGGTCTCCGTGCTCTCATTAGCCCAGGTCAACTGTTTTTGCTTTTATCTCCAGCAACATCTTGGCCCTTTTGCTTATTGCTCCTCCCTCTCCACAACTGAATCTCATCAATCTCATTATAGAGAATGGGCATCAAAGTCAGTTGTGATGTATCTCTGATTTCTTTCTCAGCCTATTTGTCATCTGTATATACTAGAGATACTGATTGTTTTTAGTTAATTTTTTATCCTGTACTTTACTGAAAGTCTTTACCAGCTGTAGGTGTTCTGTGGTAAAGTATTTTGGGTCAGTTTCACAAACTTTCATATCATCTACAGTGAATGTTTGACTTCTTCCTTTTCAATTTGCAATCCCTTGATCACCTTAGGTTCTCTTATTTCTCTAGCTAGAAGTTAAAGTACAGTGTTGAAGAGAAATAGAGTTGACAGCCTTGAATTCTTCCTGATTGTAGAGGAATCATGGTGAGTTTCTCTCCATTTAGTTTAATGTTGGCTGTCGGTTTGCATTTATCTTGTTAAATAGGTTCCTGTTTTTCCTGATCTCTCCAAGATTATTATCATGAAGGGGTGTTGCATTTTTTTCAAAGGCTTTTTCAGCATCTACTGTGATGATAATGTGTTTTTATCAGTTTGTTGATACGGTGGATTACATTAATGGATTTTCATATGATACACCATCCCTGCATACCTGTGATGAAGCCTAAATTATCATGTTTTATGTTTTTTTTCTAATGGGTTCCTTAATTCAGTTTTCCAGCATTTTGTTGAGTATTTTTGCGTCAATGTTAATGGGGGATACTGGTCTGTAATCGCCGTTCTTAGTTGTATTTTTGTGTGTCTCAGTTTCCAAGGCAATTGTAGCCTTATAAAAATATTTTGCTAATTTCCCTTTTGCT